CTTTGGCGGCAGGAGGAGGATGTTGAGGAGGAGGATGTCGAGGAGGAGGAGGAGGAGGAGGAGGAGGTGGATGATGATGATGCTGCTGCTGATGATGATGATGATGATGATGATGCTGATGCTGATGCTGATGCTGATGCTGATGCTGATGTTGATGATGCTGATGCTGATGCTGATGCTGAGGCTGATCAGGATGATGATGCTGATGATGATGCTGATGATGCTGCTGCTGATGATGATGATGCTGATGATGATGATGGTGCTGATGATGAGGATGATGATGATGATGCTGATGATGCTGCTGATGACGATGATGCTGATGCTGATCAGGATGATGATGCTGATGATGGTGATGATGATGATGATGCTGGTGCTGATGTTGCTGCTGCTGATGAGGGTGACGATGATGAGGATGACGATGTTGATGATGATGCTGATGCTGATGATGATGCTGATGATGATGATACTGATGATGATGTTGCTGATGCTGCTGTTGCTGATGATGATGATGATGATTTGATGATGATGATGATGATGCTGATGATGATGACGATGATGATGATGATGATGATGCTGATGCTGATGCTGATGCTGCTGATGATGATGCAGATGCTGGTGATGATGATGTTGTTGATGATGATGATGATGTTGATGCTGATGCTGATGCTGATGCTGCTGATGATGATGATGATGATGCTGATGCTGATGATGATGATGATGATGATGATGTGATGATGATGATGATGATGATGATGGTGGTGGTGGTGGTGGTGGTGGTGGTGGTGAGGAGGAGGAGGAGGAGGTAGGAGGAGGAGGAGGATGAGGAGGAGGAGGAGGAGGAGGAGGAGGCCAAAGGAGGAGGAGGAGGAGGAGGAGGAGGAGGAGGAGGCCGAGGAGGAGGAGGAGGAGGAGGAGGAGGCAGGCCCTTCCCGAGGCGGCGAGGAGCGCTCGCGCCTCGAGCTGGAGGCCAGAATCAGTCGCCAGCTGGTGTCGCTGCCCTCCTTCCACGACGCCGACCCCAAGCGGCTCTGCGGCTGCCTGCTGCTGCCGATGCCGCGGCAGCGTGCTTCCCTCGCCGCCCCTCACCAAATCGTCCTCCCTCCTCTTCTTCCTCTCCCCCCTCCCTCCTCTCCCCCTCCCTCCCTCCCTCCTCCCTCCTCCCTCTTCCCTCCCCTCCTCTCCTCTCCTCTCCCTCCCTCCCCCCCCTCTCCTCCCTCCTCCCTCCTCCTCTCCCTCCTCTCCCTCCTCCCTCCTCCTCTCCCTCCTTCCTTCCTCCCTCCCTCCCCCCCTTCTCTTCCCCTCTCCCTCCTGCCCTCCCCTTCATCTTCTCTCCTCCCTCCCTCGCTCCCCCCCTCCTCCTCGTCCGCCTCCCGACCACAGCCTCGGACTGGCCGGGATGGGTATCGACCTGGCGGGGGGAGGGGCAAGGCCGATGCGCCGGCCACAATTTCTGCTCCCCGGCGAACGGGAGCCTGGTGCCCCCCTGCGCTGTCGTAGCCTGATCTCCTCGCCCTCTTCGTCCTGCTTGCCCCCCTCGGAGGCGACGATGGGGGCGAACAGCGCAGGGGGGAGCAGTACACGTGTCCCTCCGGGAGCCATGCCGAAGTCATGGACCATCGGCGCCCATGGATGCATTGTATTGCTCTCCCCTGGGCTACAGTGGGGGCGCGCATCAAGAAACCATATGCTCTTCGTCAGGGTATCCTGGGTTTCTTCGCTCCCCGCGCTGCGCGGTGACTTCCCGCAGCCGTTGAAGGAGCTGCTGCGTTCAGGGTGCTCCAGGTTTCCCCAGAGGTGCACCTCGCGCACGGGCTCCCAGGGCTGGGCTCCTTGCGAGGGTTTCTTGCGGCCGCGCCCGCACTGGATTCGCCCCCATCGTCGCCCCTCTCCCCTGGGCTGTTCGCCCCCGTCGTCGCCCCCGACCCCCCCCCCCCGTTGGCCCCCCCCGCGATCGACGGCGCCGCAGCCCGGAGGCCGCCGCGTCGCCGGCCAGGGGAGCAGCAGCCCAGGGCGGTGGCAGTCGAGCAGTGGCGAAGCGTCCTGGCTCGCCTATAGCCCCGCCAAGCAATGTCCTAAGAACCTTTTGTGGTTTCCCCGAAATGTTCTTAGAACATATCTGGCGAAGTCTGTCTTGTTTGAACACATCGGGCTTATGTTCTAAGAACATTGTTTGTGTTCCTAGAACATTTCTGGGTTCTAAGAACATGTCGTGGTAGGACTATAGGAATACCGGGACGGTCGGTCCCTGCTCAAGGCAGGCTGCCCGGGGGCGCCTCCCGGGGGGCCCCGCGGCGGGGGGGCCTTTCCGCAGGGCCGCCTTCGGTCGCCTCGGCACCTGCGCTCCTCGTCCTCCTCCTCCTCCTCCGCCTCCTCTGCCTCCTCCGCCTCCTCCTCCTCCTCCTCCTCCTCCTCCTCCTCCTCCCACTCCTTAGCCTCGCACTCCTTAGCCTCGCACTCCTCCTCTTCCCTCCTCTGCCTCCCCGTCCTCCTCCAGCTTCCCCCTCGCCCTCCTCCCCGATGGATGTCCTGTGACCGCGCGGGAGCCGGGTCGGACGAAAGGGGAGGCTGGGTCAGGAGGGGAGAAAGCACACAGACACAAGTCATCGTCGATCCCCAGGAGATTGGGGGAAACATGAGAATTGGGAGGGGGGAGGACAAGGATCCAGAAAACATGAGTGAGCAAATAGGGGGAACCTTGGGATTCGTGTATTTCTTTGTGTGTCCCTGGGCCCCTTCGGAAAAGGGGGGGGGGGATAGGGGGTACGAAAAGTCAGCTGCACGCAGCCAGCCTCGGCTCCTCCGCCGCGGGGGCGTCCTCCTCGAATATAACACGCGGGCGCAGGCGGCGCCGGAAGGCGAGGCGAAGATCAGCTGCGTGAGCTGCTTCGCTTGTTGTCGGCGGCGAGCGACCCATCGGCGCCCCATCGGAGTGGACCAATGGCGGCCCGTGGACACAATATGTATTGCCCTCCCCTTGGCTCATTCGCCCCCATCGTCGCCCCCGAGGCTGGCGGTGCTTCGAGGCTTTCGGGTGTCGAGACGCGTTTTGCCATTCCTTCGGCGACGAGGGTTTGGGGGGGCAGTGAGGAGGCTCGGAGGCCCCCCCAGGCTTCCGAGAAGTTTCTTGGGCCTTCCCCGGGAACTTCCGGGAAGCCCCCCAGGCTTCCGGGAAGTTTCTTGGGCCTTCCCCGGGGACGCGGGAAGCACCCCTCCAAGGGCGCGAGGGCCTCTGAGAAGCCCCGCCGCTCTCCGCGAGGGCCCCCTCGCTCGCCGCCGAACTCGAGGGGACTGCGGTGGAGGCACTGCATGAGGAATCACTGCTCCCAGGCGGGACCCCTGAGGGCATTCCTCGTGTTTCCAGGACTGGCGGGCGCAGTTCAGGGTCCAGGGCCATTCCTGAAGTCGTGCCTGGCCCAAGCCTTGTGGTCCAGGGCCGCGACCACTCCTCACAAGATTAAGATGCTCCGCCGACTCGAGCTTCCGCATTCCTCAGCAATGGCACCCTTATCGAAAACTTCAGCCGTAACTACAGTCGACCCGCACAGTTAAGGATGGGCAACCTTCCCAAGGGTACCCTTGCATCCTTGCCTCCTCGGTCCATCCTTGGCCACTCTCGCTGGCCGCGCCCCGCTCCAAAAGCTTCGAGATGGCCTCCCAAGGCCCTTGCATCCTTACGATACGGGTTGACTGTGATCTCCCGTTTCTGGGGAGACCAATTGGTACCGATACCGCTACTCCCCGGACCTCTCCCGGGGTGCGTTCTGACCAGGACCTCGAGGCGAATCCAGCGGTGGCGACGAGGACCTCCGAGGAGGCCCAAGGAGGGGGAAACGAGGGAAGGGTAGCGGTATGGGAAACCTTTCCCCGCAGTTTCGTCCGAACCGATGGAGCCGAGCTTCGAGACAGCGGCTCCGCCACGGCCTCCCCGCGCGGCGGCCACGGCGTCTTCTGTCGGGGGGGGGCGGCGGTGAGAGCGCCCGGCGCCCGCCGCAAGCCGCAGAGTGCCGCCCAGAAAGGTTCGACGGCCACACCGACTACGTGGACCTCCACAAGGCCGAGAGGCGGCTCCTTTTCCTCCTCTTCTCCTGATTGTTGTTTGTTCTTCCCGTTTTTTTTGTTCTCTCTCTCTCTCTCTATATATATATACATGTGTGTTGCTGGGAGTGCACTTTTGGGTTCATGCTGGCGAATCACTAGATACATATACATACGTAGACAAATGTACGTATACGTGTATGTGGCACGTACGTGCCCAGGATCGTGCAATCAATCGTGCAAGGTGTGTGTGTGTGTGTGTCCCTGTGTTGTGTGTTGTGTGTTGTGTGTGACGTGTGTCCGTGGTAGATGTCCAGTGCGCGTGTGTGTGTGTGTGTGTGTGTGTGTTGTGCTAAGTATGTGTGAGCGTGTTTTACTTGTGTGGTGTGTGTGTGTGAGAGACGTGTGTTGTGTGTTGTGTGGGTGTGTGCTGTTGTGTGTGATACCCGTGTGTACTGGATGTTGTGTGTGTGTGTTATAGGTGCTGTGTGTGATTGGTGTGTGCTGGGTGTATCATGCCTGTTGTGTGGATTATGTGGTATGTGTGTTGTGTGGGTTGTGTGTGTCGTGTATGCTGTATGGGATTTGCGTGTGTGCGTGGTATATGTGTTCACTGCATTGTCAGCATGTTGTGTGTATCATATAAAATGTGCGTCGTGAGTGTGTGTGTGTGTGTGTGTTGTGTGTGTGTTCTCTTTGCGTGTGGTTGTTTTCTCTCTCTCTCTCTATATCTTTCTCTGTGTTGTACGTCAGGGCTGGATTGCGCGAGGATGTCTTCGGCCAAACTTCCGTTTTGCAATAATCGTGTGCAACAGCATTGGAAGCTTTGGTTATTGTTGAATATTTTATGCGGAACTTCCGTAGTCGTGTTGGCTCAAGCCATTGATCTGGTCTCAAGTTGTTGTCCAGACCTTGACCATAAGCGCGGAAGCGTGGGAACCGCGCGAGCGCCAGGTGCCATTCAGATGCCGCTGGCGTATGCTGTGCCCACAGATTCGGCCACGGAGGACAAGCCCGAGGCCGTGGCGGCGCCCTGGCCGCGGTCCCGCTGCCGCTTGCCGGCGGTCAGTGCGCTCGCCGTCCTCCCGGTGGTGGCGGTCTGCGCGGTCGCGGTGGGCGGTTCTGGCGGCCCGATCCCCGTGCGCGGGAGGTCGGCCGAAGTGATCAGCATGCCAGACTGGGGCAAGGAGGCGAGATTGGCGCCGTGGACATCTCCGATCGTCGAGGGCGCTGAGCAGGGCGTCGCCCTCGTCTGTGGCCAGGCGACGAAGCCAGACGGCACTCCGTCCCGGGTGTTGGGCGAAGAAGTTGCTGGATGAGGGGAAGGTGGTAGCGTTGGTGGTCTGTGGGGGAGATCCCGCGGGTGTCGGTAAGACCGAGGCTTTAGCAATGAGGCAGGTGCTGATGGACGAAGGGATCCCAGAGGACAATACCATTTTGGAGTCTCAGGCATTTACCACAGCGGAGAACTTCTGGTTTGCCATGCGTTGGATCTCCAGGCACGGGCAAGTTTCACATAGTGACATCTGAATTTCACGCTCCCAGGGAGTAGTGGACCGCTACTGCTGTTTTCAGTTACTTCTACCAGATTCTTGAGGGCGAGTTCAAGGACGATGAGCGCTGGACAAGCTCGACCAAGAAGTACCCGAGGCTGGCAGTGATAGTGGAGGCCATTCCCAACTTCTGCGGCACAGACCCCTCCACGGCAGACGACGTTAGCCTCGGTGTTGATGTCAGTCGGAGGTCGTTGGCATAACGCGCGATGCGCGAGATGGACATCATCCAATGGAAGCCCGCTAATCTGTACGGCGCCGTCCCGAAATAGGGCCAGCTGAACCTGAACGCTGTCTGGTTCGCCGTGATCGACGTCGACGAGGACAACGAGACGGCCAAGAATTGGGATGCTGCGATAGCGCAGATGATGAACGTCGTCGCAGCAGTGTGCGTGTGCAAGGGGAGCATGGAGGGGGACGGGCCAGAGATGGAAGAGTATCCCCTGGCCCTGCCTATCAGCTCGGACTTCCCCGCGGGAAAGACAGTGGACGACTGGGAAGCAGCCAGGAAGGAGTGCAATCCCGACTTTGACATGGTGGATTTCGGTAAAAATCTGTCCGGGAAAGAAAAGGAGGAGGTCGAGCTCGAGCTCTCCGACCACTACGACAGAATGGAAGCCGCAGATGCTGGCGACGCAATGGAAGCCGCAGATGCCGGCGTTCCGCCGATTACCATCGAGTCCTGAGCGCTCCGACGTCGCCCTGAAGCTTGAAAATCTCAGCAGCTTCAATGAACGGAGGGCGAGCCGTTGTCCGCGTTCAAGGACGGAAGGCGGGCCGTCGTCAGCGTGTCAGCGCGGGCTGAAGCTCCGGGAGGTCCCCGTTGAGCTGGGTTTCTTTTTTGCGAGTCAATGCTGCGCATCTACAGATGGAAGGCGGGTGGCGAAGCAGTTCAGATTAACGGACTCGTCGTCATTTTCTCACTTCCATTTCATAATTATCCCACCCTCCCTCCTCGTCCTCCCTCCTCCTTTCCCGCCGTCTCCTCCACGTTGTATTGCCCCCGTCTCCATCCCTCGCAGCGCCTGTCATTGCGCGCTCCTCTCATGATGCCGCCTGATCATGCCCCTTGCACGCAGCCGAATGGCCTGGCTTGTACAATTCTGTCATCCGGCGTCCCGCGCGCCCAGCGACATTCATTGAGCCTCGGCGGGAGCCCAGCGCTCGCGCGCACTGGCGCGCGGAAGGGCCCCCCCAGCGCCGATCTAACACGACCGTGCGGGCGCCCGAAGATGGGGGGGGGGGCAGCGCCGATCCAATCCGCGCGGAGCTCCGAGAGTTTCCGCAGCTGGGCCACTGTGCCTCTCCAGGAGCCGCCGGCAGCGTCTCGGCAGGCTCACGCTCGCGGCGGCGCGCCCAGCTGGGTGGGGGGCCAGCGCCAGGGTTGCGGCCCAGTAGGCCATGGTGCTTCGGTATTTTTCGCACGCGTGCAGTTCTTTGCTTCCAGGAGCTGGTCGCTCCACCTTGCGTGCACATCCTGGGGGGATCGGCCCGATAATTTCGCACGAGGTGGTTGCGCCTCCAGCGCGAGAGCCCGCCATTGCAGCTTCTATCTGTTCACCGCGGAGGCGATCGTGTATTTCATTCCGCCTTGCGTGCGTGCCCGTGGGCGATCTACCAGACAAGGGCGCGCCAGGCTGACGCGTTTCCGTCGGAAAAACAATCCCGTGTGAAATTGTTTGCCGAAGGCTGCGCTGATGAACCGTGACGCCGCGATCTGCATGAGGGGTGCGTCAGATTCTTAGAAGCTTGAGGATGTCCCGAGCGAACCAGCCAGAACTACCGATCGGCACAAACATCGTTTCTGAACTCAGCTCCCTCGGAGAGGTGCGTATGACAATACTTATGATGGGGTATCCCCACACACATGTTTTTCCCAACCATCCTGTGGTGTTGGGTCCTCGTTTTGAAGAGACGGTGCCCCGCGTTCCCTCCTTCTCCTCCTCCCGCTGCCCCCTCCCTCCTGCCATCATCATCATCATCGTCATCATCATCATCGTCATCATCAACATCACCATGATATTCGGCGTCATCATCAGCATCACCCTCCGCATGTCTCTATTTCGGCACACCAATCACACGGTTCGTGGCCCCATAGGGAGCTCCACCGAAGCCCCCAGTGGCAGGGTTCGCATGGCGGCCCCGCCTCATTTTGGCGCACCCCTCACACGGTTCGTGGCCCCATAGGGAGCTCCACCGAAGGCCCCAGTGGCAGGGTTCGCATGGCGGCCCCGCCCATTTTGGCGCACCCCTCACGAGGATCGTGGCCCCATAGGGAGCTCCACCGAAGGCCTCAGTGGCAGGGTTCGCATGGCGGCCCCGCCTCATTTTGGCGCACCCCTCACACGGTTCGTGGCCCCATAGGGAGCTCCACCGAAGGCCCCAGTGGCAGGGTTCGCATGGCGGCCCCGCCCCATTTTGGCGCACCCCTCACACGGTTCGTGGCCCCATAGGGAGCTCCACCGAAGGCCCCAGTGGCAGGGTTCGCATGGCGGCCCCGCCCATTTTGGCGCACCCCTCACACGGTTCGTGGCCCCATAGGGAGCTCCACCGAAGGCCCCAGTGGCAGGGTTCGCATGGCGGCCCCGCCCCATTTTGGCGCACCCCTCACACGGTTCGTGGCCCCATAGGGAGCTCCACCGAAGGCCCCAGTGGCAGGGTTCGCATGGCGGCCCCGCCTCATTTTGGCGCACCCCTCACACGGTTCGTGGCCCCATAGGGAGCTCCACCGAAGGCCCCAGTGGCAGGGTTCGCATGGCGGCCCCGCCCATTTTGGCGCACCCCTCACACGGTTCGTGCCCCATAGGGAGCTCCACCGAAGGCCCCAGTGGCAGGGTTCGCATGGCGGCCCCGCCCATTTTGGCGCACCCCTCACACGGTTCGTGGCCCCATAGGGAGCTCCACCGAAGGCCCCAGTGGCAGGGTTCGCATGGCGGCCCCGCCTCATTTTGGCGCACCCCTCACACGGTTCGTGCCCCATAGGGAGCTCCACCGAAGGCCCCAGTGGCAGGGTTCGCATGGCGGCCCCGCCTCATTTTGGCGCACCCCTCACACGGTTCGTGGCCCCATAGGGAGCTCCACCGAAGGCCCCAGTGGCAGGGTTCGCATGGCGGCCCCGCCCATTTTGGCGCACCCCTCACACGGTTCGTGGCCCCATAGGGAGCTCCACCGAAGGCCCCAGTGGCAGGGTTCGCATGGCGGCCCCGCCTCATTTTGGCGCACCCCTCACACGGTTCGTGGCCCCATAGGGAGCTCCACCGAAGGCCCCAGTGGCAGGGTTCGCATGGCGGCCCCGCCCCATATTGGCGCACCCCTCACACGGTTCGTGGCCCCGCAGGGACATAGAGAGCTCCACCGAAGGCCTCAGTGGCAGGGTTCGCATGGCGGCCCCGCCCCAGTGTGGCGCACCCCTCACACGGTTCCTGGCCACATTGGGAATTCTTTTTGCTTTGTCCCACCTGCCCTGCGGTATTCACGTTTGCATATGGTTGGGTCCTTCACCAGGATAATTTAAATATCTCCCTCTCTCTCTCTTTCTTTCTCATGGTTGGTTTCTTTAGGAGGTTGAGCAGCCCGTTGGGCCTCCGGTGTGTGTGTGTGTGTGTGTGTGTGTGTGTGCGTGCGTGCGTGCGTGCGTGTGCGTGTGTGTGTGTGTTTGTTTGTTTGTTTGTTTGTTTGTTTGTGTGTGTGTGTGCAGGCTCGTCCAGCGCCTCTGTTTCTGTGTCACGTGTACTGTAAACTGTCATCCCTGGAATGGATTGCGCCAGTTGTTGTGCTGCAACACCCCAGATACGGGAAGCGACTGAAACCGGGAGGTTATTCAAGACTTAATTCCGGAGTTAAGTCGGCCCGATTCCGGGGTAAAGGCCACCCCGCGGAAAAACTTAACTCCGGAGTTAAGTCGCCGCCAAGCTGGCGGACGCACCAGCTATTACACGAATTAACTCCGGAGTTAAGTGATTCCCACGCCGCGCGCCCCAGCCAGGTACAGACTTAACTGCGGAGTTAAATCGCCGCGGCATTTGGTTGGGTGCCGCGGCGATCGAGAGGACAGGAAGTGGAAGAGGAGGAGGACGGCGACGAGGAATATGAGGAGGAGGAGGAGGAGGAGGAGGAGTGAGGAGGACGAGGAGGAGGAGGAGGAGGAGGAGGAGGAGGAGACAAGCTAGGTGCCTTCGCGTCATATCTGACATCCGACCCCTCCCTCCCATCCCTTACCATGGCGTAGATCCCCTCTCTGTTCGCACACAGTCGGATGTCGATCAGGGCAATGATCCCGAAAGGGTACGCGATGCATTGTAGAGCACGGCGTGGCATGGCGTAGAAGAGCACCGCAAAGCGTAGTATGTCACAACATGGCGTGGCGTGGCGCGGTGAAGAATTGCATCACAAAGCTTTGCAACGCAAAGCATGGTATCGCACAGCGGCCCCGAACATAACATTGCATAGCATGGCGTTGAAGATCTAAGCGTAGCCTGGCATAGCACGACGCGGCACTTAAGCACTGCATATCACAGCTTCAGCTGAAGGCATGGCATCGCGCAGCGTCACGCAACCTAGAATTGCATTGCACGCCGTGGCATGGCACGGGAAATGACGCCAGCGCTGCAGCGTGAGCACGATTCGGAACGAGCGGAAGCGCGGAAATGAAGCCAACGCTGCAGCGGGAGCACGTTTCGGAACGAGCGGAAGCACGGAAATGAAGCCAGCGCTGCAGCGGGAACACGAATCGGAACGAGCGAGACCTGAAAATGAAGCCGGCGCCTCAGCGAATGCAGCACTTTGAAAACATATGCAGGCGAAAACCCAACTCCAGGGAATCCTGCGTGTAAAAATACAGCACGCAGGGGGGCGGGGGCGAACGCTCCCAACCCGTCATCAGGGGAAGGAGGAGAGTAGCGTTCATATAGAACAATTGTGGAGGAGGAGGAGGAGGGGACACATCAGGGCACGGGGGGCCGAACGCCGCAGGAGCGCGACTGCGACTGCGACCGCTACCTCTGGGCCGAGCTCCGCCTCGCCCCCGCCCCCTCTTTTTCACGCGAGCGCGATGCGCAGGCTGCTTCCCGCCAATCGCCAAGCAAAGCAAGCATGCGAAGAGTCTTCGAAAATAATCAAAATCAGACACGCTTCGATGCTCGCCGACCTCCGCCTCCCCCTGCCCCCCCCTGGCCCGACTACAAGGGCCCTCACTTCCGGCGCCTCTTCGGGCATGGCCCGTCGCCTGGCCTGGCGCCGGGCCCGCCGGCGCCGCCGCCGTCGCCCGGGGGGGCTCCCGGGGGGCGGCGCCGCCGTCGCCCGGGGGGGCGCCCGCCGACTCCGTGCCGTCGAAATGCAGCTGGTCGAAGCTGCAAATGCGGACGGCGGGCCGCCACCTCGGCGCGACCAGCGGGCGCGGAGCGGGCGACGGCCGGGGCCGGCCGCGACCCCCCTCCCCGGCAATATATGCTGGAAGCTCCAAAACTTGTCTACATGCTAAACCTTCCAAAAGAAATCGCCGAGGGCCCCAATGGATCGAGGTGCGTCGGCCAAGCCCGACTGAATTTGGCCATAATATGCGAGGCGACCAATGGGGGACGGCGCGCGGCGCGAGGGCCCGCGGCCGCCGCAGCGACGCGCTCGGCACGCGCGACTCGATGGCAAACTAAGCCAGCCGCAACGACCTGTCGATGCACGTGGGCGGCTCGATGTTGCGGCAGTAGGCGCCCACGTCGCCCTCGACGTCAGAGATAATGACCTCGGGCGCAAGCGGAGCGGGCGGGGGGGTCTCTCGGGTCGGGTGAAAGGGGGGGATAGCAAAGGGGGGGTTGAGAATCAGCTCACGTAGCTGATTTTCCCGGCGCCTCCCAGCGCCAGAGGCGGCTATGCATCGAGGAATGGGCCCCTCGGTGAGGCCGAAGCCAGCTGCATGCAGCAAATTTCGTAACCCCCCCCTGTCCCAATCCCCCCCTTTCGCCCGACCCGAGTCTCGCGCGCCCCCGGCCCCAGGCGCGCCCAACGCCGCGCGCGCGCGAATCGCAGAGCCCGCGAGAACCCTGCTGGCGGCGCCCCCCCGCGGCGGGCCGATCGGCGCCCGCTGGCCACCAAGCGCTAAGACGGCGACGATCTGCCTCATCAAGACCGCGGCGCACGCAGTGGCCACCAAATGGTCCGCCCAGGAACCGGGTTTCCGCATGTGCGCGACGTGCGCGTCCACGTTGGGGAACTGAGCTCTGTTGAGCGCGTTCTCGAACGTGCCGGGGAGGCTCGCGATCCAGTTCGTGGCTGGGGGCGACGTTTTACAGGCGCGGGGGCCCGTGCGGGGGCGATGAAACTCAAACCCCGCCCGCGGGCCCCCCCTCTGCCGCTCGGGCCCAGCTTGCGGATAGATAGCGGGGGCAGGGGGGGGTCCGTCAAGCGGAGGGCAGTCCTTCAGCTCGCAAGCCCTCGGCGGTCAGGCCGACCTCCTCGCCGCCCCTCCTGAGCGTCTCGACCAGCGCGTGGAAGAGACGTGCCCCGTCGCCCGGCACGCCGACCGCCTGCGATGTCAACTCTGGGACAGCGGCGGTAATCGCTGGGGCGCAATCTACGCGGCGCAATCACAGAGGTGCAATCTATGCGGCGCACTGCAATCTACGCGGTGCAATGCAATCCCCGCGGTGCAACCTAGGCGACGCGAGCTATGCGTCTCGGCGACGGGCGGCCACAAGCGGCGACGGAGAAATAAGGGCACCTGACTGCGCGCGCGGATTGCACCCGCTGAAAGGAACTAGGAACGCAAGCACTGTTCGGAGAATCGGGCAGCCCGCGAACGGGCGCCCAGCCAAATGAAAATGCGCAGACCTACATCAGGGCGCATCGGCGCGACGAGGCCTGGAGGCCCCACTTCGCCAAGCGCTGTCCGATGAGTTGCACGCTGGCCGCGTGGCGACGACCTTGCTCCTCCTGCTCGCTCAGGGAGAGCGCCTTGGCCATGTTCAACTGCAGGGCCTCCCAGTCAGAGTTGTACATGGAGCTGATGCCCGCCAACATTGCCTCGAGGACCTTGGAGCTCTTCGCCATCTGCGCGTGCTGCGGGCAGAAATTGCACGACGCCTGCCGCTTCCTCCTGCAGCGGGCCTGCGCCGTCTTCCAGCAGCACCTGTGGGGCGGGGTGGGTGGGGGGTCTGGGCGCCCCGAAGAGCAGGGGGGGTGGGGCGCCTGTCGCCCTCGCACTGCAAGTTGGACGAGAGCAGCGGGGCGGCGCCTGGTGACGCCGCGGAGCCGGGTAGCTTGCGCGGCGGCGCCGCCGGGGCCGCTGGCCTGCCCGCGGCGGGCGGCCCCGGTCGCGCCTGCGGCGCGGCCAAACCGCCCCCCCCCCCGCTTCGACGCGCGCCCGCCAGGATCGGGGCGCCCCTAGGGGGCGCGGGGCGAGGCCGATGGGGAAGGGGGCGGTTTGGCCGCGCGGCCTGAAACATCGCCTTCATCTTCTCAGAGTATTTGGGCGTATTCGAATGCTTCGGCGGCTGGGAGGAAGAGGAAGACCCCGTAGCTGCGTGCGGCAAACTGGCCGGGAGCGGGGCCGTGTAGGACCCCTCCAACATTTTCTCGACGAACAAGGAGTGCTCACTGACCCCCCCGTGCTTCATCCAGTGCCTGTGCGAATCGATGGCCTCCCCAGTGTCCGTCACATAGACGATGGCGAAGAACGTCCTCAAGTACCGATGACGGTTCATGGAGTACCCGTTCTGGTCCAGGCTCCTGCAAGGCGCGAGCGGGGCCCCCCGGCGCGCCGGCCCCCTGGGGTTGAAGGGGCCGATGCCACCCGCCACCGCGCCCCCCCTCCACGGCCGCCCCCCGCCGTCGCGGTGACGGCCGCGCCCCTGGCGTGACGGGGGCCTGGGCTGGCCCCGTTCAAACGCCGCGTCCTGTCCCTCGCCGCCTCCCTGACATCGGAGAAAGACTTCGCCGTGCCCAGCTGCAGCGCCGCCCGCATGTCCGCCTTGCGCTCCTTCGCCCAGCCCAGGTGGAACTTCGGCAAGACGTACACGGAGGTGGTCTGGACTGCGACGCCGTCGACGTTTAAGACGACGTTGCACGCGTTGGAGAGGTACGTGCCGTCGCGGCCCTCCCGCTGGAAGTGGAGTATCATGTCGTGGCGGTTCAGCCTCGCGGGGCGGGTCGTCGTGCCCCCCTCCTCCTCGCTGACATCCTGTTCAAGTCTGCTCGCCACTTGGCGGCGGCCCTCGCCAGTCAGCGAAGGGGGGGGGATCTTGATCTCGCGGCGCAGGGACTTCCAGAAGCCAGTGTCCTTCCTCGACGTCATCATGGTGCCGATTCCGTCGATCAGCTCTGGGAGTGACTTCGGGCCCCCCGCGCAGCAAACGCCTTTGAGAGTCCGCCAAGATCTTTCAATTGTAGACGTCGCGTACGTCGTAAGGCCAGGGGGGGCCTGCCCGAGCCCGCAGCGCCAGGGCGCGGTGATCGTTCCGTCTGGACGCACTGTAAAGATGTTCGTCAGGAGGTAGTCCGCCATTGCCGACTCGCCCCATTGAAACGACTCTTCCCCGTCCTCCCTCATCCGATCGAATATCTCCGTCATCAGCACGTTGAACTCCAAGTCACTCTCGCCCTCGCCCCCGGCGCCGCTGTCGGGGAGGCCGGCGGAGAATTCCATGAAGTTCTTGATGGGATGTACGAGGGCCGTGTTCTTCATCCGCTTCACGCCGCTCCCCTTGTCCAACATCTTCTTGCTCTCGTCAGCGACGTTCCCCTTCACGTGCTGCAGGCACCTGCGCAGTCGGATGCCACGAGCTTCGCACAGGGGGGCGGCCGCGCCCATGCACCGGCAGTCCATGACGGCGTGCGTCGTGCTGATGCCAAGGCGGTCAGCGATCTCGAAATAAGCCTGCAAGAGAAGCTCGGAAGCCTCGTTGTCCTCGGTCTCCGAGGCCATGAACACCACCGGCAGGAAGCGCATAGTCGGGAGGCCAGTTGCTTCGTCCACGTGGAGGCCCACGGGGCCAACGGCACCCACGAGCATCCCGTGGTAGTTCGTCTTCCACGTCCAATCCATCAAGAGCCACTCCAACCTGTGCTCGGCAAGCAACGCCTCGGAGACTCCGTGGGTGAAGGGGATGCGCAAGTTCTTGTCGGTCACAACTGGCGTCTGCTGACCTGTCTTTGTGTCGACCATGTTCAACAGGAAGATCGGGTTGTGATCCTTCTTCAACCAGTCCTTCATCTCCCCGATGCAAGCCTGGGGGTAAGGCTAAAGCTAAAGGCGCAGCAAGGCGCCCGTCGGGCACGATGGGCCACGGCCATTGCCCCCCTGGGGCACGGGGGGCGACTCTGGGGGCCCCGCGCACACAGACGACGTTCCAGCGCACTGTCACCCTGCCGGCAACCACGGGGATTCTGGGTTCCTCGGGCTTGCGCGTCCTGGCGTTCTGCAACTGCTTGAGATCTGGTCTCTCCTTCAGCGGGACCTTGTCTCGTTCCATCTGGTCGCGCGCCTTCACGGGAGACATTCTCTGGGCGTGCTCCTTGGCGCGGTCGAGGATGCGGGCGTTCGACGGGGACGTTGGGCAGCACTCCCCTTTCTTCTCGACGACGAGCACTAGGCGGCCAGTCCCGTGGGGTGGAAGGAAGGAGAAGCACCACTGGCGGGTGCACCCTGCGCAGTTTTTGCAAGGTGCATCCACGGCTTTGCGCCCCTCGGCCGTTGTGTTGCGCAAGTGTCCCAGTCGACATCCGTGGAGCTGGTCGGCGGCCTTGGCTGCAGCCTCCCGCAACTTCGTCGTGTCAGGGAAGGATAAGCGGGCGTGTTCGGTCCATCCTTTCCTTGGGCGACCCGGGCGCCCTCGCTTGGCCGGGGGGGCGCCTGCGCCAGAGTCCTCGGGGACGGGCCCGACGAGGGCGCCTTCTGGCGCAACGGGCGCAGAAACCGGCGCGGACTCAGGCCCCTCGCCGGATTCCTCTTGCGCAGGAAGAGGACATTCCGGCGTAGCGGGCGCATGAACCGGCACGGGCTCGGGCACCTCGTCGGTCTCTTCGTGCACAGCAACCAGAACTGGCACGGGTTCAGGCACCTCGTCGGCGTCTTCCTGCGCAGGAACAGGAACTGGCACGGGCACCGGTTCCTCGACAAACTCCTCCTGCTCCAGGAATCCAGTCGCGTTCTGTTGGCCGAAGCACCCCGCGAAACCGTCTGCTGTGAGGATGCCCACTTCCACGAAACCGTTTGGATGCCCTCGGGTCCACCCTTGCAGCATGTGCTCGTAAACATCATCGGGGTGCACGTCGATCACTTCCACTACCGCCCCAGGCGCGTCAGAGTGCCTGCGCATCCACACGCCGTGGGAAAGCACGGTGGAGTTGACCCAGAAGATGAGCGCCATCATGTAGGACAGCATCGGGATTGCAACCAGAACGATACAAGAAGATCTCGGGGCAATCGGGTTGAGTTGGAAGCCTTTGTCTTCGAGCCACACGGACAAAGAGGGGAGGGGGCGGAGGATAGGGGAGGAGGAAGCGGAAATCAGGAACAGAGGTACACATGGATGGAGTATGAAGCTCCGCCATGGGCGAGAGACCAGCAGAGAACGTAACCTGGGGCGCCAGCTGTCTTCGTGATCACAGGCATCCCCCCTCCAACTCTCCAACGGCCCCAGAGGGGGCCCAAGAGGGGGAACACGAACCGACAATTCGAGCCTTCCGCCCAAAGAGGATCCCAGGAGGCCCCAAGAGACCTCCATCATCATCATCATCATCATCATCACCATCATCATCAACATCAGCATCATCATCACCATCATCAGCATCATCATAGTCGTCGTCGTCATCGTCATCATCAAATCCATATTCATATTGACCATCATCGTCATCATCACCGTTATCACTGGTATAATCATCATGACCAGAATAATCATCATGAGCATCATCATCATCGTCATCGTCGTCTTCATCATCCTCATCATCACGATCATCATCACACTCATAGTATCGTCATCGTCATCATCATCTTCATCAGCATCATCATCGTCGTCATCGTCATCATCGTCGTCGACATCATCATAACCATCATCATCATCACCGTCATCAGCATCACCATCATCATCATCGTCATCGTCATCGTCATCGTCATCATCATCATCATCGTCGTCGTCAGCATTGTCATCATCGTTGCCCTTCTCCTCTTCCTCCTCCTCCCCCTCCTCATCATCATAAGCACCACCAACAGCGCCACCGCCATCATCATCATCACCACCATCCTCATCATCATCATCATTATCATCATCGTCGTCATCATCATCATCATCCTCATCAGCATCATCACCACCATCATTATCATCATCATCATCCTCGTCATCGTCGTCGTCTTCATCATCATCATCATCGTCATGGTCATTGTCATCATCTTCGTCATCATCATCATCATCATCATCATCATTATCGTCGTCGTCGTCGTCATCGGTGTCATCATCAGGGTGGCGGGGTAGAAGGGAGGATGAGGAGGAGGAGGAGAAGAAACAGCAGCAGCGAGGAGGAGGAGGAGCAACAGCAGCAGGGAGGAGCAACAGCAACAGGGAGGAAATAGAAGAGGGATCCTCATCCTCCTCCTCCTCCTCCTCCTCCTCCTCCTCCCCCGCCTCCCGTAGGGGCTCGCAGTCCCCCGGCTCTTCTGTGCCGAGTGGCCTGAAGCTACGCACCCTTCTCGGACAGTCGGGAGAAGCAGGAAGAGGAGGAGCATGAGGAGCTGCGCCACAGCAGCAAAAGGAGGGGGAGGACGATGATGAGGAGCAGCAGAGGAGCAGGAAGATGAGGAGCAGCAGCATGGGGATGAGGAGAAGTAGCAGCAGCAGCAGCAGCAGCAGCTCATCATCATCACCATCATCATCATCATCACCATCATCATCATCATCATCACCATCATCATCATCATCATCATCATCGTCAGCATCATCATCACCATCATCACCACCACCATCACCATCACCATCACCATCATCATCATCATCAGCAGCAGCATCATCATCATCATCATCATCATCATCATCATCATTACCGTCGTCCTCGTCATCGGTATCATCATCAGGGTGGCGGGGTAGAAGGGAGGAAGAGGATGAGGAGGAGAAGAAACAGCAGCAGTGAGGAGGAGGAGGAGGAGCAACAGCAGCAGGGAGGAGCAACAGCAGCAGGGAGGAAATAGAAGAGGGATCCTCATCCTCCTCCTCCTCCTCCTCCTCCTCTTCCTCCTCCTCCCCCGCCTCCCGTAGGGGCTCGCAGTCCCGGCTCTTCTGTGCCAAGTGGCCTGAAACTGCGCACCCTTCTCGGACACTAGGGAGGAGCAGGAAGAGGAGGAGTATGAGGAGCTGCGCCAGAGCAGCAAGAGGAGGGGGAGGAAGATGAGGAGCAGCAGAGGAGCAGGAAGATGAGGAGCAGCAGCATGGGGATGAGGAGAAGTAGCAGCAGCAGCAGCAGCATCAGCTCATCATCATCATCATCATCAGCAGCATCATCACCATCATCATCATAATCATCATCATCACCATCACCATCATGATCATGATCATCATCACCATCGTCATTACCATAACCAACAGCATCATGAACTTCATCGTCGTCAACATCATCCTCCCCTCTCCGCATGCCCTCTCGCCGCCTCCTAATCTTTCTTTTGTATGTGCAGAGGGTCCCCAGTGCAAGCGGCCTCAACCACAGCGCGTTGCCCAAGAACGCAGGGGAAACCAAGGACACACAGAAACACCACAACTGTTGCGCGCACCGGCACGCCACGAACGCTACGTGACAACGGAGGGCCGCGTGTCTAAGGACGAAACAGCGCCAAAAAAGCAAAAAAAAAAAAAATGCGTTAGTTTCCCCTAATTAGGGACACTGAAAATAAGGCAGTTTTCGTCGTGCCGAGGACGCAATCGTTCCGCCCCGGCTTTTAACCTGCGGGCGCACGCCAGATTGAGCGCGCACTTGACTTCATCGGAAGAGGCCAGCCCAAACTGATTACGGCTGTTATGCACGATTACAGCTTGGCACCTCCCCTCCGTCAAGTGTAGCAGTTTTACGTCATGCCTGGGACGGCGATGCATATGCCGATGCCGATGCCGATGCTGGGGATCTTCTGACCCGGGTCAATCCAGACGCGGGTCAGCAGGAAACCAAAAACTGCAATGCAGGAAAAAAAAAATGCAACGCAGATCTTCGCAAACCCGGGTCAGTAAATATGTGTGCGGCCGCCTCGCGGCCACGAGCGGCTTCCTAACCCGGGTCAGCCAGAGGGGGTCTTCGCAGGATCCTGCAGGATCTGGCGCCCTGGCTGACCCCCGTCTGCATTGACCCCCGTCTCAGGGCTCCCGACTGACGCTGTCGTCGTCGTCGCCGGCGCCCGTGCCGCCGTCGTCGTCGTCGTCGTCGTCGTCGTCGTCTTCGTCGTCGTCGTCGTCGGTGTCGTCCACAGGGGGGCCACCACCTCCACAGGGGGAGGGCCACCACGCAACGCCAACAGGATCGCGCGGGGGGGGGGGACCCGATGGTATTAGCATTGGGGGGGGGGCCCAAGCCCTGGACCATATATTCTCTACTCCTCCTCTTTCCCCCTCTCCTCCTCCTCTCTCCTCCTCGTTCCCCCTCCCCCTCCTCCTCCCTGCTCCTCCTCTTTCCTCCTGTATCCTCCTCCTCCTCATCTCTCCTCCTCCTCCTCCTCCTCCTCCTCCTCCTCCTCCTCCTCCTCCTCCTCCTCCTCCTCCTCCTCCTCCTCTCTCCTCTCTCCTCCCCTCCTCCTCCTCCTCCTCCTCCTCCTCCTCCTCCTCCTCTCCCCCTCCTCCTCCTCCTCCTCCTCCTCCTCCTCCTCCTCCTCCTCTTCCTCCTCCTCCTCATCCTTCTCCGTCTCCCCATAGGCGCGATACTTCAAACATGCGCGTATCTGCTATGCAGTGCTATGCTATGATCTGCGATGCTACGCAATGCTATGCCTCAAAAACCAATTCATTGCCATGCTATGATATGACATGCGATGCTATGCGATGATATGACGTGCTATGCAGTGCAATGCGATGCTATGATGCAATGTTATGCAGTGCTTTGCTCTGCCATGGCTACGCAATGCTATGCTTTAATATGCTATGCAGTGCCATGCTATGATACGCTATGAAGTGCGATGGAGGAGGCGGCCACTACCTTGAGTACCATTGAGGTCTGCCCAGGCGGAGGGCGGAGGAAAGGTGGCGGAAGGACGGCGGAAGGGCGGCGGAAGGGTGGCGGAAGGGCGGCGGAAGCGCGGCGGAAGGGCGCGGCGGAAGTGCGGCGGCAGGGCGGAAGGGCGGCGGAAGGGCGGCGGAAAGGTTGCGGAAGGACAGCGGAAATGGCGGCGGAGGGTGGGTGAAGGGCGGCGGAAGGGCGGCGGAAGGGTGGCGGAAGGGTGGCGCAACGACGGCGGAAAGGCGGAAAGGCGGCGGGGGGCGGCGGAAAAACGTTGGAAAGACGGCGGGCTTCCCGAGCCGTCACGGAAGGATTTCCATGGAATTCCTGCAAATCCTGGAAATGGAAAGACCAGAATCCAGAAATTGAGGAAAAGCCTAGACGCCAGGAACCCAGGAATCGTTGAAAGTCGAAGATTTCCTGGGACCCATAGAAATCAAAGAATCTATAGAAGCCCCGAACTGTAGGAAATCTGGAATCCAGGAACGCGGCATGCGGAATCCAGGACTTTAGAAATCTCAAGAATCCAGAGAAACCTCGTAGTAATTCTTTAGGAATCCTTCGGAATCTCCTCGGAATCCGAATGGGTCCTTAGGAATCCCGTCGGAATCCTTCGGATCCCCAGGAATCTGTAGGAATCCCTCGGGGATCCCGACGACCCCCTGAGGAACCTTCGGAATCCTCACGGCCCCCTGAGGGACCGCTGGGAATCCTGAGGGTTCCCTTAGGAATCATCGGGGATCCTTTGGAACCCGCAGGATACCCCTCAGGAGTATCTGAGAATTCTTGGGGGTCCGGAGGGGCGGGTGCGAAACGGTGTACATAGTATGGTATTCCAATGCCCTGCCCGCTCTGTCGGGGCCTCCCTTGTCCCCCTTTTTCCTATCCATTTTCTCTCCCTTTCCCCTCCCTTTTTCAATTTTCCATCGCTTTTCCTCCCCATGTCTTTCCATTTTCCCTCCCTGTTTTCTTTCCGTCCCCTATCCTATCCCTCCTTTTTTCCGTCCCATTGTCCTTCCCTTTTTCCCTGCCTTTTCCGTCCCTTTTCCTTTCCTTTTTCTTTATATGTTATATTCCTTTTAACTCCCTTATCCCTCCCGTTGTTTATTTCTTTTCCCTCCCGTTTCCTCCCCAATCCTTCCATTTTCTATCCTTTTTCGTACATGTTCCCTCCCGTTTCCCTTCCTTGTCCGTCCTTTCCCTACCGTTTTCCCTTCCTTTCCCTACCGTTTTCCCTGCCATTTTCCCTTCCTTTTCCCTTTTCCCTCTCTTTCCCGTTACTTGTTCCATATCTGTTCCCTTCCTTTTCCTCCCCTGTCCTTCCCGCCCTTTTCCCTGCCTTTTCCTTCCGTTTCCCTCCCTTCCCCCCCCTATCCTTCCCTTTTCTTTCCCTTTCCCCCCCCCCCCCTATCCTTCCCTTTTCCTTCCCTTTTCCTTCCCTGTTCCCTCCCTTTTTCTTTCCTTTTCCTTTCCCTCCCTTTTTCTTTTCATTTCCCTCCCTTTTCCCCCCTTTTCCCTCCCCTTCCTTCCCTTTTCCCCCCTGTCCTTGCCCTTTCCCATAATTTGGTCCATCCCTTTGTCCATCCTTTTTTCCCTTTCTTTTCCCTCCTTTTTCCCTCCCTTTTCCTTCCCTTTCCCTCCCTTTTTCGACCTCTTTTCCCTCCCTTGTTCCCTGTCTTTTCCCTCCCTTTACCCTCCCTGTTTCCCTCTCTTTTCCCTCCCTGTTTCCCTCTCTTTTCCCTCCCTTTTCCTTCCCTTTTTCTTTCCTTTTTCCAACCCTTTTCCTTCCCTGTCCTTCCCCTTTGCAACCCTCAATTTTCGCTTTTTCTCGGGCCGAATGAAGAGCAGGGGCGGCCCGCGGAATCAATTAACTCCGGAGTTAAGTGATTTTGCGGCCGGGTGGAAGCAGCACTCATAGAGTGACTTAACTGCGGAGGTAAGTCGTCGTGAAGGTGGTATCAATACAAAATGAGAAAATCACTTAACTTCGGAGTTAAGTGATAATTACCTTCCTGGTTTCAGTGTTTTTCCCCAGATACGATGACATGCGACGAGCAGTCGGATAACGAGGACGAGGACGAGGACGAGGAATGAGAAGGGAGGAGGAGGAGGACGAGGATGAAGAGGAGGAGGGATGAGGAGGACGAGGGATGAGGGATGAGGAAGGAGGGAGGAGGGAGGAGGGATGAGGGAGGTGGGAGGAGGAAGGATGGACGAGGGAGGATGGAGGAGGGAGGGGGAGGAGGATGAGGAGGATGAGGAGGAGCAGGAGCAGGAGCAGGAGGACGAGGAGGACGAGGACGAGGAGGAGGCGGAGGTGGGAGGCAGTGAAGACGGAGGAGGCGGAGGAGGAGGCGGAGGAGGAGCAAGGGGAGGAGGGAGTGAGGACGGGCAGTGGGTTCAGCTGGGTGGATATTTATGGGTGGAGGGGGGAGGACTCCAGCGGCAGCGCTCACGATCTCGTCACGGCGCCGTCTACGTCGTGGATGGGGTTACTATAGCTATGGGAGGGGCACCAAGGTAACACCAGGCTTGCAGCACATTCTACCGCCCGGCAGGCGCATACTCTGAGGCCCCCTACTCTTCTGATCTTTTTGCGCTGCCTGCTCCGCTGCGCCCGCCAGGTTACAATGTGTCCTTCGCCCACCAAGTCGGCGTCTTCTTTGTCCCTGCATCCAGTAATGCAACAAGCTAGCGCTTCCTGTATGGCCAACGCCAAAAAGGAGGGAGTGAAGGAGGAGGAGGAGGAGGAGAAGGAAAAGGAGGAAGAGGAGGGAGGAGGAGGAGGAGGCGCCCCGCAGCAGGCGCCGCCGCACCGCGGGCGCCGACGGGAGGCCCGCTTTCGCCGGCGGCCCGAGCCAGAGCTGGCGAGACGACGCCTTCTTCGGGTGGCTGCCCGGCCGAGGGCCCGACGCGGAGGCCCCGCGGCCCCGCGCCCGGACTGCCCTGGCCCGACGGGGCTCGTCGTCGTCGTCGTCGTCGTCGTCGTCGTCGTCGGCGTCGGCGGCGTCGGCGTCGGCGTCGTCGTCGGCGTCGGCGTCGGCGTCGGCGTCGGCGTCGGCGTCGGCGTCGTCGTCGTCGTCGTTGTCGGCGGCGGCGGCGGCGCCGCCGCCGCCGTCGACGCTGAGGGGAAGGGGTGGAGGCCTCCTGGGGGCACGTGATTGCCGCGCGTGCCGCAAGCGTCGCGACGTCGGGACGAGCGCCTCGACGAAACAAGGGCGGCTCGGGCGGGGGTAGGACGAGGACAAATCCGTTCCAGAGCGTTCCGGAACGCTCTCAGAGCGTTCCAGGACGCTCTGAGAAGGCCGCGGCGCCCGAGACATCCTCCAGAGCCGCCGGATCTCAGGGATTCTCGTTTTATCCTCACCCGATTTTACCTTCGTCCTGGCGTCGTCCTAGATCTGAGTGTTGCTAGAGATTGTTGTAGTTGAAGGTGACAGGCTACCACTGGCCTGGACACCCTCGGCCAAAGACCGAGAAGAGTAGTAGAGGGTGAGGAAGAGACGGACCACGAATCGCCTCAGGCCGCTCCAGGCCGACAGGTGCCCTCCAGGATCTCCAAGGAGGCCCCCACGGCCTCACGAGGCCTAGAGGGCCCCAGGAGCTCCAAAGTCGAGCGAAAAGCTGGGGGGCACCTTGTGCCAGGTGTACCTTCTGCAACCACCCAATCAGATCTCGGTGCGTTTTTTTTCACAACGCGCGTCTCCGCCTCGCTTCGGCAGGGTTTTGTCTCGAATCGCTCCTGGTGCACCCCACCGCTTGCTGACCAGTCTTGGGCCATTTGGCGCCCGCGGACTTACACAGTTCTTTTGAAGCGTCGGATTTCAGAGAGGGGAGTCCTCCTCCTCCTCTTCCTCCTCCTCCTCCTCCTGCTCCTCTCGGAAACTGGAACATGTACATTACCCGTGGCGGCTGCTGTTTAATCTCAGGGCTCTCTGAGGGTCGGGGACGGCGTCGGGCTGGTGTGGTGCATACTCTTTTCCCCGCTTCCCCAGGGACACGGCGAAGCATGTATGCACCAGGATCCCGTATAATTGCGCCAGGATCCGCTTATTTGTGTGAGCTTCAGCGCAAGGCCGGACAGGGCGTCGTTGTATATGTGATCGTTTTTTTATTCATTGTTTTGCCGATCGGCGCGGGCCCTCGCACCCCCCCCCTCCCCATGGAGTAGATCTTGGCTGTTTTTTGGCGCCTGTTTCGAGCAGGTGGAGTCTCCCCCAGAGGACGCACGGTTCCAAACAGCCGCATTCAGCAGAGGTCTGGAGCCAGACCCCACCCCTCCCCACCCCTTCCGTCCAACGTCGAAACGCCGAATAAGAACGCTGACTATATATATATATATATGTGTATATATATATATATATGTGTGTGTGTATATATATATATATATGTCGGCGGTGCCCGATGCGGAGCGACCCCCCCCCGGTAATCTCTCCTGGGGGGTTTCGAGCTGGCGCCATTCCCGGTGCAAGCCTGCACGAACCCCCCTGGTAAACACGACCTCCTCTGGTAGGCTGCACGAACCCCCCCGGTAAGGACGCAACCCCTCCGTAAGCGGCGCGCTCCCGGCACGCGCGAACCCCAGCCCCGACGCGCGAATCTTACCAGGACGGGCCGGAATACGGCGGCGGCATTGCATCCCAGGGCCGTGCACACGGCGGCACTGCTCTTCTCTACGCGGCCGTGCCGTCGACCCCCCACAGCGGCTCTTGGGAGTTGCGCCGCAGCCGGGCGTATTGTGGCCACGCGCCCAGCAGTGCGAACAACAGGAATGCCAGTTCCTCCTCCTGCTCGTCCACCTCCTCCTCCTCCTCCTCCTCCTCTCCTTCTCTTCTCTTCTCTTCTCCTCCTCCTCCACCTCCGTTCCTCCTCCTTCTCCTCCTCACCCTCTCATCCTGCCGCCTCCTAGTCCTCCTCCTCCTCCACCTCCTGTTTTATCCTTCCTCCTCCTCCTCCTCCTCCTCCTCGTCCTCGTCCTCCTCCTGCCTCTTGTTCCTGCTCCTCGTCCTCCTCCTCTTCCTCCTCGTCGTCGTCGTCCTCCTCCTCCTCGCACACTTCGACAGGGAGCCACCCTTCCCAACCGCCCCCCTGCCCCCCCCCCAACCCACCCCCCACTCCCACCCCCCCACTCCCACAGGGGGGGGGGGGAGCCCAGGTAGACGCAGTGCGGCCTGCACGAACCCCCCCGGTAAAGCGACAGGGGAGGACCCAATGCGGCCTGCACGACCCCCCCCGGTAAAGCGGCAAGGGGGGGGGTGTTCTAAGCCGCTGGCGGCACCTGGTGCGGGCTGCACGAAACCCCCCGGTAGTGCACGAACCCCCCCGGTAGTGCTGGGGGGGGTTCGTGCCACGGCGCACCGCCAACACATATATATATGTATATATATATATATATATATATATATATATATATATATATATATAAAAAGTTCGGTTCCCTATTGTTCGAGAGTTCTCGGAAGCCTGTGAGGTTTGCTGGGGGTGTTCTCGAGACACGAGGGGGTGGCCCCGCCGCGCCGGGCCCGCTCCCTCCCAACGGGGTGCCACGCTGGCGGGGGGGGGACAGGCTCGTTGAGGCTTCCGGGCATCTTCGCAGATCCTTGGCCTCGGGGCATCGCTAGGGTTAAGTCGGGCATGTCCCTCTACAGGGGGAATACTCAAAAATAGTCAAAACATAGTCTGGGGACCATTTTTCAAAAGAAAACATATGTTTGGACTATTTTTAGAGTATTTTTGTGCATCTTTTATTTTTCGTCGAATATCCCCCTGTAGGGGGACACGCCCGACTTGACGTTAGGGGAAGGAAAGGCTCAGGGGGGGGGGGGGACGCATCGAGCCGCAACCGCACGCTCGTCGCCGACAGGGTGTCCGACAGCTCTCCTCGGGGGGCAACGCTGGAGGGAGGCTTCGGGGGCGACGGTGCAGCCGGGACGCTGAAATAAAGACCGCCGGGGGTTCGGACCGCGGTTGTTCCTCCAGCCCTCCTCGTGCACCCAGGCCTCTTGGTGCAGAGGAGCTTCGTTCCTGCTTGAGCGTTCGTGATCTCAGCAGCCCGACCGTATGGGGCGACTCGCACAGGGGCGGGCCTTCCACGCATTTGCCAGGGAGCTTCGCCGGAGGCCTGGACCATCGGCGCCCCTGGATACAATGCGGATTGCCCTGCCCTGGGCTAGTACTTGCCCCCGTCGTCGCCCCCGAGGCTGGCGGTGGCTCGCGGTTTTCGGGTGCTGAGGCGCGTCTTGCCACTCGTAGCTCCTGTGACCCTCCCTCGGGCGACGAGGCCTGCACGGATCCACCGCTCCCTGGCCAGGCTCGTCCTGAACCCAGGAGCTGTGCGTACACCCTCCTGGCCAAGCCAGGAGGGCGTGGCGTACACACCGCTGCTGGGTTCAGGATGGGTTTGGCCAGGGGGCAGTGGATGCGCAGAAAGTTCGTCGCCTTCTTCTTGTGCGTGCAGGGCCGGGCGCTCGTTGCCACAGCAGGTGCGGCAGGCGGCAGCTCTCGCCACTCGCCTGCCTGCCACTGGGCTGAGAGAGGGACTCGACCCCCCCGCCCCTTCTGTGAGGTTCGAGGCTTTTGCGCGTTGTTGTCGTTGATCCTGGGCTGCTTCCAGCCTCGGGGTGCCTTCCAGCGGCTACGCCTCGCCAAGGGCGTTCCAGGGTAGGGCCCGACCTAAACGGTGCTTTGGCCATTTCGTGGACCGTTTTCGTTCTGATTTTACTTTGCCGCAGAAACGGAGCGAATACGAAACGAGTGGAAACGAAAACAAAACGAACACAGAAAACATCGTTTAGGTCGAGCCCTGCTCCAGGGTGCCCAGATCGTCCCCTCGGGGGCAGCGCTGGAGGGAGATGCAGTCGAAATCGATGATAAGGACGGGCAACTTCCCAAGGGTGCCCATGCGTCCTCGCCTGTTCGGCCCATCCTTGACCACTTTCGATGGCCAGCCCCTCTCGAGAAGCTTCGACCTGGGCGTCCAAGGGTATCGCCTCCTCATCGCGCATCCTTGAAATCAGTCTTGACTGTCGGCTCATGGGGGATGCACTGACAGCCGAGGTAATTCGGCACTCTCGTAGGCCTTCGGCAGCTTTGCAGCCTCGGGGTGCGTTCCAGCGACTGCGCCTCGCCGAGGGCGTTCTGGGAGTGCCCGACACCGTCCCGAGCGGCCTCCAGAGGCCGGAGCTCTGCCCCGAAGCCAGGGAGCGGAAGGTCACGGGCACCGTTGGAGGGGGATCGGCTCGGGGGAGGTGCCTCGACCCGCCGTCGCCCATGCATCGCTGACAGGAGCCCGATAGCCCACCCCGGCCTGGGGACGTGCGGGTTTGCTCTCGGGCCGACCGCCAATCCATCGACGGTGCATCGCCGATGCCAGCTCGATGTTCCCCCGCCGAGCTGCCCCCCCCCCCTCACGTTGCCCCTCACCCCTCGCCCCCGCGGGTGGCCTCGCACGTCGGCGGCGAGCCCACGGGGGAAGGTAGGGGGCGGACCTTCTCAGGGGGCTCAGAAGGCCTTCGGCCTTTGAGAAGCTTTCCGAGCCTTCCCAGGGACACAGGTGGCGTCTCAGAAAGTCAGGGGGCTCCTGAGGAGCCCCGCCGCCTTCTGAGAAGGCCTGCTCCCTCCCACTTCCCTCCCAGGCGCGCCGCCGAATACAGCAGTCCGTGGAGGAAATTAAACACGGGTCTCCATCCTGAGCGGGACGGCGTCACGGTCGACCTAACGAACGAATGAGGATCGAACGAACGACGACCGAACGTACATGAGGATGTCCGAGCTCCAGAACACAGCTGTGCAAGGCGATGCGCTTTTCGGCGGCGCAGTCTGAACGCTGCCCTCGCTGATCCACGACTTGGGCAACCCGATGGGCGGCGGGGGCAGGACTCGGGACTCGTCGATCACGTGGCGAAGCCAGAACCCCGCCGCCTCCTCCCGTCGATATCGGGAGAACCCATGGCTCGTGGGGGTATACCCTTCGGAGGTCGCCGCCCGGAGCTTCCGTCGTGCCCTCGGCGGGAGGGCCGCGCGGCAGGCCCGCGCGCAGGGCGGCGGGAGCGACACCGGGGGAGGGCGGGCGGGGGGCGGCGGAGGTCAGAAGTCAGCGCTGCGCTCCCACGGGGTGCCGGTTGTTTTGTGGCTCCGGGGCGTCCCGGGCCCGCCGCGTGTCCGCGCCGTTGGCTTCACCGGGGCCGTCGTCGAGTGCGGCGCCCGGAGCAAGGGTCTGCCCGGAGATCCGAGGCGGGCTGGAGCAGGTTGAGACATTCAGGGCGGGAGGAAGACAGACACGGACAAAGGCCGTTTCGCAGGAAGCTGTGTGGGAGACTGTGGGAGGTGGAGGGGAAGGAACATCCAGAAACTGTGAAATCTGCTGGGAGTCCTGATATTTGTGCCCATTCATTTTTGTGTGTCCCTGGTCTCGCAGGAGAAACAGCGCCAGAAACATAAACTTTTGGCGCTCCGCGCGGCTTTCTTGTGTCCGCGCTGGGCCCCCCGGCGGCGCTTTTGGCGCCGCCCCTGGCGCGCTCCGAGCACCAGGGAGAAGGGTTCAGCGCAGATCCGAGAAATCCGCGCGGAGCGCCAAAAGTTTATGTTTATGCAGTTGTTCTTCTTCAGTGGAGACCCATACCAAGAAACACCCTGCTTGCCTCCAGGGTGCCCCGGGTTTCTTGGGTTTCGATGGTTTTGCTATGGCAGGCGTGACGCTCCCGCACCCAAAATCGATGGACGTCCTGGTGTCTCGGGGTTGGGTTTCTTGTGGAAAGTTTCTTGTGGACTGGCCTCCACTGTATGGCCCCTCTAAACTCAGTCAGATCGGGCGTGTCCTCCTACAGGCGGAGTTTTAGACGACAAATTCAAAATCGCCAGAACATGCACCCAAATAGCCAAGAATGCGCAAGACATGGCCCCCAGACTTTTTTTTTTTTTTTTTTTTACTATTTTGAACCTTCCTCCTGTGGAGGGACAGGCCCGCCTTGAGACTACGCTTTTCACCGGTGGGCTCGGTCTGTGCCTGCAGGGCCGGGCGCGCCGTGCGCCGCCGCAGCGAGAGAGTGCCGCGGGCGGCCGCTCGCCGCGCGCGCCTCGTCGCCCGCCGCCCGGGGCGGAAGGAGAGGGCCGACTCCCCGCCCACGCCCTGCGGCTCGCTCGGCACTGTGCATGTTGTATCTCGTCGAGGGCCATCGAGGCTCTGTGCTGAAGTCGGGCGTGCCCCTCTCTGGGGGGAATCTTTTTTCTGTAAGCGGTGAAGGGTAGTCTGGGGACGATTTGTCTGTTATTTGTTCGACGATTTTGATCGTTCTTTTTTTCTGTGTGACTATTGTTCATTTTTCCTTGAAGCTCCGCCTGTAGGACATGCCCGACCTAAATCTATGCCTCCTAGACGGGGTCGGAGCAGATGGGGTCGGAGGATCGTGCCGCATTGCCGATGCATCGGCGATGCGGCTCGATGTGGGGCTCGATGATCTCCGCGCTGGCGTCGCCGACACACCGCCGACGTCGCCGATGCATTCGCGATGGCCATCTACTGGGACCCCATCTAGGAGGCCTCTGATTTTGTTTCGGCGAGGACACTTTCCGTCGGCTGTTCGAGACTCTCGCGCGTCTTCGTCGGTCCCCGGCGGTGTTCCGGCCTTCGCTTCTGGCGGCTGCGCCTCGCCGAGAGGCTTCCAGGGCTGCCTGGGCTGTCCCGAACGGCCGCCGGAGAGCCGAGGTATGATCCGAAGGCCAAGGGGCAACCCTTCCCTCCCAGACTTCCCCGCGTCTTGAAACCAGGAAAAGGTACCGCGGGGGGTTGAACCCGCCGTTTTCGGCCTTGGGGGGCCCTCGCCGGGTCCCCGAGGGCGCTCAGAAGCAGGGTTGGGACAAGAAGCCGGTCCCGGGGAAGAGGTCCAGTCCTTTGGGGAGCCACGCTGCTTGCCGAATGGAGCGCACTTCTTGCAACGCCTCGGCCAACAAACAACGTCTATCACCGCTCTTCTGTGCTCACCCCCATTTTCTTTTGCTCCTCCCACTCCCTCCTCTTCCTCCGATCGCCTTCCCGCTCCTCCTTCCTTATCCCTCGTCCCCTCTCTTCTCCCTTCTCATCCTCCTCCCTCCCCTCCTTCTCTCTGTCCCCTCTTCCTCTCCTTCTTCCTCCTCCTCCTCCTCCTCCTGCCAGTTTGTCCAGCGCTTCCGCCGAGTCGCGTGCCTGTCCTCCAGGCTGGTGTGGTGAGTCAGTGGGGATACGGGGTGACCGCACGGTCTTGGGACTCGGGTCGTTCTCCCGGGACGTCTTGGCTGTAGCCTGTAGCCTTCTCCTCGTGCCTTCCCTCTTGCCTCTTTCTGCTGCCCCCTCTCAGGGCAAGCACCAGCTTCACCGGCCCCTGGAGCAGGCCCGCCTCAAGCGGCTGCCCTCCTTCTCGGAGCAGGCGGCGCTGGGCATCACCGGGCACGGCATCGGGCTGCTCAGGCCCCACGGCGGCCCAGAGGAGGGGAACGGGGAGGAGTAGAAGTATCAGCAGAAGAAGGAGAATGATGAGGAGGAGGAGGATGAGGAGGAGGAACACCATAATGCAGCAATGGGGGAGGGGAACAGAGAAGAGATGAGGGGGGCGGCGGAGCATGCTACCGCTGCTGGTGACAGTGGTGGTAATGAGGAAGGTAATGATGGCGTTGCTGTTGTTGGTGTTGATGATGAGGAGGCGGAGGCGGAGGCATGAGGATGAGCAGGGCCGAGGTGGGAGAGAGGAGAAGGATGATGATGTTGACATTGATTTTGAGGCTGATGATACTGATGATGGACGTGATGAGAACATGATGCTGCTGCTGATGATTCTTCTGCTGCTGCTGGTGATCATGAGGAGGATCGGGGTGAGGATGATGATGTTGATGCTGATGCTGTTGCTGATGACCGTGGTGATGATGACGATGACGATGACGATGATGATGCTGATGATGCTGACGATAATAATAATAATAATGATGATGATGATGCTGATGATGATGATGATGATGATGATGATGATGATGATGGGTGTGAGGCTGATTATGCTGATGATGAAGATTATGATGACAATGAGGATGATGATGCTGATGACTACTTCAACTGCAACAGCATCCACTATTACTACTGTTCGTAATATGACCACTATTACTACTACTACTACTAATCCTACCTTTTCTTCCACTACGACCTCTACTGCTACTACGACTACTGCGACAACGACTACTACTACGAGTATTAATATTATTGTCATTCCCACTACTAAGACTACTACTACTACTACTACAACTACTACTACTACTACTACTACTACTACTACTACTACTACTACTACTACTACTATTACGACTACGACTACGACTACGACTACTACTACTACTACTACTACTACTACTACTACAAATAGTACTAGTACTAGTACTACTACGACTACTACGACAACTATTACTACGGTTACGACGACTACTAGAACCACTACGACTACGACTACGACTACTATTACTACTACTACTACTACTACTACTACTACTACTACTACTAGTACTATTACTATTACTACACTACTTCACTACTACCTCAGCTATTACTACTATTACTATTACTACTATTACGGCTACGACTACGACTACAATTATGACGACTACTACTACTACGCCTATTACTACTACTACTACTACTACTACTACTACTACTACTACTACTATTACTACTACTATTACTACTACTACTACTACTACTACTACTACTACGACTACTACGACTATTACGACTACGATTGCTACTACGACTGCGACGGCAACTATGACACGTATTCTTGACTGTGCTATTACCATTACTACTTCCACGACTACTCCGACTCTCACTGCTACTGCTACTTTCTTCTCCTGCTACTACTACCTACAAGTACGAGTGCGACTACTACTGCTGTTGCTGCTGCTACTATTCCAGCTACGACTACGACGACTACTACTACTGCTACAACTCCTGCTACTACTTCTACCTGCTACTGCTACTGCTACTCGTACTACTCGTACTACTCGTACTACTCGTACAGCTAGTACAATGCACGACGACGACCTACTACTACTACTACTCCTACTACTACTACTACTACTACTGCTACTACTACTTCTACGGCTACCACTACTGACAGTAGTAGTAGTAGTAGTAGTAGTA